TCACACAAAAGTATTTTCTGAAAATGTCACTTTAGAGGCTCTATAGACTTCTCTCACTAAAATCAGAGATTTAAGAAATTAGTTAATTTGTTATGACTTCTTACAGTACCTCACAGTATAATGTTCACTGTACAACATGCTCATCATTCCAGGAAGTGATTCAACGCCGCCTCCTGTCAACAAGATGTACCCTCAAAACAGATTTGAGGGTATCCCACAACAGCAAAGGTGAACCGACATCCTTTAAGCTTCAATATGGCAAATGAAACAGCCAGAACAAAACTGATTCAGAATTAAATTCACACAAGCAAGTAAAAATCTTTTGCATTTTTTATATAGCAATTCTGAACTATTTTTGAACTAATTCTAGAACTATTTGTAGAACTATATTTGCATTAGAAAGGTCAGTAAACTTTAGACTGCAAATTTAAACATGGCCTTTTGTGTTTCATTTGAATATGTCCATGTAATTTTTTCATTTTGTTTGGGCATGCAAATCAGTTCCATTTTATACAGTATGGCTGGTTTTACTAAGCATGTAAATACGATATTATCGGACATTGCTTTGAGGCTTACATGTGTTCCATATTTCTAGTTTCAACACCACAAAGCCCACACTTGGTCCACGGGTCCTTCCCAAACTACCTCAGAAGGGTAGGTGACATGCTTTCTTCTTTTGAATATTGCTGTGGTACATCTGTATGGTGAAATAAAATAAACTCCATTAAGAAATTCATTTAGTTATTTATGAATAATCACAAGTGAATAGTTATTTGCATTCACATATGTATAATTTAGTTTGCATTAAGCTGACAGTGTATCTTTTCCTACCCACTATTACAGTACAGTTAGATGTATTACTTAAAGAGAAACATTTTCAAATGAAATTTCACATCACAAAATATACCCTATAAACTGCCAGTGGCAGTGATGAGGAGTAACTTCATTAAAAGATGCAACAAACAAAATAATTTATTCCAAGTATTTCAGCAAAAACTATTCTTGAAATTTTTACAGTGCAAAAAAGAGACATTTTTTTCTTTTGTCATTTGCTATTTATTTATACTTTTTGGAAACCCTATTTTCTAGTGTGCTCTACTGGCATTTTAAACCTAACCCAACATCTTGTTAGTGAGGGAAATATTTCCTCATATTTGTCTTCCAAAATTGTCTAGAACTATATAAAAAATTAGACAGAAAACATACAACTAATCTACTAACATTTTTTTTTTTTCCAATAGTTTCTCTGCGAAAGATAGATACCATCCATCACCCATCTATGGACAAAACCAACCAGCCTCCTGAACCTGTCCTGTTCCAGAAGGTTCTGCAGAGTTCAGATACTCCACAGAAAGTTCAGTTAGTCGATAGACCTCAACCTGGAGATATACCTCCTAAACCACAGCCTTCAGAATTACCCCCTAAACCAGGAGAACTGCCTCCAAAGCCTCAGCTATCTGACCTTCCCCCTAAACCCCAGCTAGGTGATCTACCCCCTAAACCTCAGCTGAAAGATCTCCCGCCCAAACCTCAACTGACAGACATCTCCCCACCCAAACCTGCAACCACTGAGGTCCTCCACAAACCTCCTCCTGGAGAAGTGGCTCCCAAGCCCCAACCACCAGATACTCCAACAATCATCCAACAAGCTGAACTGTCTCCTCAACCTGTCCAGTCTAGTGAAGACACCAATGGAAGCCCAACATCTGCACAAGACACACCTGTACCGTTGCCCAGGAAAATAAATCCGGTAAGGATTTGGTCACCGATGCTTTGGAAAAATGCATTGAAGTATGTAACAAGCTGCTTTCAACAAACTCGCTTACATTATTTGTTTTGCTTTCTATCAGATAAAGAGTAAAATGCGGAGGGTGAAGACTATCTACGATTGTCAGGCAGATAATGATGATGAGCTTACTTTCGTTGAGGGTGAGGTCATTGTAGTAACCGGGGAAGAAGATCAGGAGTGGTGGGTAAGTGTAACAACACCAAATTTTCAAGCATGTGCACCACAGCATGAGACTGAAGAAGCAAAAATTCTAGACTCGCGCGAGGCCCTGTGCGGTCGCACACTTTGCATAGCCCTTGGAACGATTCCACCTATAGTACATAAACAAATAGGCTCCTTGGAATAAAACCAAGAGTCACACAGTGTCGTTTAAAGATGAAATACTGATAAACCATGGTTAAAGCAGAATTGTTTCCAGGCCATTGAATTAAATTTAACTGGTAATCTGGCATTCCTTTTCAGAAATGCAGTAGTTCATCATCAGTTATTCCTTTCTTGATTTAGACTGGCATTTAGAGCCACATTCTGATTGCAACTGTTCTTTTTTTGTCTTCAGATCGGGCACATCGAAGGGCAGCCAGAGAGGAAAGGTGTATTTCCCATGTCTTTTGTTCATATCTTGTCTGACTGACACGCAACTAACTGTTGGTCCTCTGCCTCCATCTGTGGGATGCACTTGAATTAACTGCTGAATCAACAATGCAAGGTTTAGGAAGATGGAATCACAATGAAACACATCATCACCTTACCATCATCAGAGACAGAGTGTAAATAAAATATATAACTTTAACGCTGTTATCCGTACCATTTTATACAGCCTACCGCACAGTGGCTAGACTGCACCCACTTAAAAGACCAGCACTTTCCCTCCACTATTACTGATACTGTATCTCTGTATATAAGATTGTACATAAATGTGTGTGTGTGTGTTTCACACAAGGATGAGTGTCTGATTTTGTGTAAATGTAGAAACTTGTGTTGGTCTGAAAAGTAAATGTGTGAACTTGTAATCTACCTGCCAGTAAGTTACAGCTGGGGCCAGTTTTGTTCAAATAAGTTGAAGTATTAATGTGGCCATCATTGCTATCATCTATAGCAGGGACAGACAGGAGCCGACTTCTCTGCCTGTTGGAATAACTGGACTCGTAAGTTTCCTGAACATAGGTTTTCAGTTTTGACCATTTCCTAATACACCACTAAAGCATGTCTGAGAGTGAAATGTTAATTTGTTTGGTATTCCCTGTTCTTGCTACTCAATGTAAAAATGATTAACCCATGCAATGCATACACCATTACCTGTGGCCTTTCACAGGTTGTTCCTATGTAATCCCATAACAGTGTTTGTTTTATCCAAGTAATTCTACTACAGTCATATTGAAGGACAGTGCTCTGTAATACAGCGGTGTTCCACAAAAAGGTTACCATTCATTATCTTTAATATTGTTTTTCTGAGAGGTCTTGGATACTTGAAATACTTTTGAAATATGGAAGTTGTTAACTTGGTTCATAGATGTTGTATTTTCAAGTGATAGATATGTACTGTATTGTAATTTGAATCTACGCTTTGTCCATGCTTCCAGTAACCCCATGTTAGATCTCAAAAGAAAAAAAAAGAAAAATAATTAGCCATTCAAATTCCTAATGAAGGACTATGAGCACTAGTTTCCAGCGTGAGATTTGGTCAGTCTTGCATTCATTTATGGTTGTATCTTGTCAGAATTCTGACTATTTTTGGTAGAGCGGATCCCCGAGAATTTAGAGCATGGTATCAAGTCTAGTTCAAAAGGAAGCGCAGTTGAAGTTTGAATAATTTCATCCCCATTGGAATTGGACAGTCACCCCTCTTGTTGCATTTACCAAGTAATCAGTGTTGAGGTGACAGTATAGCGGTCCGATGTGCTAGATGTCTCTTTTTGACTGCAGATTCTGAGGATAGTGTCCACTGTCTAAACCTGTTCCTCACCATTCCATTATCAATAAAATGGTTTCATGTGAAACAGGACTCAGTCTCTTATGCATCAAGTCCACTGTCAAGTTACAACTAATTCAACCTGTAAGAAACTCAACAGCAGCTGCCACAAGTGGACTCAAGACCACACATGCAACGACTCGAGTGAAAACTGAAATTTATTTGCAGTCCAGCAACATACAACTCAATGCTTCTCTACAGTCATGCCAAACCTCAGATTGGGCCCCAGAGTCAGTTCAAACAACCCAATACACCAGCAACGCATTTAAAAGCGGCTTCACTTTAAGGCAAAATAAAGTGTGGTTCCATAAAACGATACAAAAATGCTCAACTTAAAGAGAACCTTTTGGTTCACATACCAGACTGCTGGTAGATAAAGTATTATAAAAAGGGACAAATGAGCAACTCATTTTGATACAGCAGGTTTTTGTGATGTCTTTTTAGCTTGGTCCACCTTCTCCACAGACTTGATGACTCCAACAGCAACTGTCTGTTTTAAGTCCCTTACAGCAAATCGACCTAAAAAAAAAAAAAAAAAAAAAAAAAAAAAAAAAAAAAAAAAAAAACCCCCACACACACTCCTTTAAAACCTGCTTCTTTCAGCAGTATTTTGACTATTTAAATCCAGTACTTTACCCAGAGGTGGATAATGAAAGAAGCTCTCCACACATAAGGGTTTGTTTGGGACGAGTTTGACTGTAGCACCATCTCCCGACATCAGGTACTGGGGCCAGTCCTCCAGTTTCTTCCCCGAACGCCGATCAAGCTTCTCCCTCAGCTCAGCAAAACGACAGGAAACATGAGTTGTGTGGCAGTCTAGTACAGGAGAGTAGCCAACCTTGATTTTGCCTGGGTGATTCAGCATTATGATCTGTTGAAATACGCAAGTCAGCTACCAGTTCGTCAGCCAGAGTTCAAACATTGGCAAAGCAAAGCTGCTGTACCTGAGCAATAAAACTACTGACATCGGATGGTGGGTCCTGCTGTGCGTTACCTGCTACATCACCTCTCCGAAGGTTCTTTACGGATACATTTTTAATGTTGAAGCCCACATTGTGGCCAGGGAGGGCAGTCTGAAGCCCCTGGTGATGCATCTCAATTGACTTGACCTCAGCAGTCAACTTCGCTGGGGAGAAGGTCAGAACCATTCCAGGCTTTAAGACACCGGTTTCAATCTTACCCACAGGGACTGTGCCAACACCTGGGGAGGGGGGACCCAGTTTAGACAGTCACAGTAAATGTCAAGAGTGCTCAACAAGGGGTCTTATACTTTGTCAAATCAAGACCTTGCCCACTTGGTAGTTTTACCCACCACCAATCTTGTAGACATCTTGTAGGGGAAGGCGCAGTGGTTTGCTCGCATTGCGCACCGGAGGAAGTAGGGAATCAAGCACCTCCAACAAAGTTCGGCCATTTGAGTGGCCTTCTTTCCTCTTGAGCTTCCACCCTTTGAACCACTGCATCTGAAACAAGTAATCGAGGTCAGCAGATAAAGTCAGGGGTGCCCAATACTGTTCCAGGAAAATCTACCTTCCTGCAAAGTTTAGCTCCAATCCTGATCAAACAACTGAAACAGCCAACGAACATCTTCAGGAGCACTTGATAGTTACAGACAGGAGTGTTGGAGCTGAACGCTACAGGTCGATAGGTCTACATGAACAGGATTGCCTTATATATATTCATGGCAAGGGTGTTGAGAATGGCATTACCTTCTGTGATGGGGCAATCATGTTCTCACCATTCCAACCCGAAACCGGTATGAAAGGTACAGCACCAATCTCAAAGCCAATCTTCTTGATGAACACAGAAACATTCTTCACCACCTCATCATAACGTTTCTGGCTGAATGGCGGCTCAGTGAGGTCAATTTTATTGACACAGACCATGAGCTGTTTGACCCCAAGGGTGTAAGCCAGCAAAGCATGCTCTCTTGTCTGACCATTGCGAGAAATCCCTGCCTCAAATTCACCCTTTGCAGCAGAGACAATTAGTAGAGCAGCATCAGCCTAAGAAAAAGAAAGATCACCATTTAGGTCAACTTTATTTTATATGAAGTACCAGAAAAGAAAACCCAGAAACAAGAGCTCAACTCAAGAAGCATTAACACCTGAGAAGTCCCTGTGATCATGTTCTTAATGAAGTCACGATGACCAGGTGCATCAATTATAGTAAAGGTGTATTTCTGAGTATTGAATTTCAGCAGGGAAATATCAATTGTAATGCCACGTTCCCTCTCTGCTTTCAGTTTGTCCAGAACCCAGGCATACTTGAAGGAACTCTTTCCTATCTTAAATTAAAAAGAAAATAAATAATAACAACATTCATAAAAGGTTATTAAATTTAATACTAACCTGGTTTGTAGCCTTCTCATACTTCTCAATTGTTCTATGGTCAATTCCTCCACATTTGTAGATGAGTTGACCAGTGGTTGTGGATTTACCACTCTCTACGTGGCCAATTATGACCAGGTTGATATTGATTCTTTCTTTGTTTCTGTTTTACACAGCAAATACTACAAAAAAAAAAAAAAAAAAAAAAAAAATTTAGTACCCAAACAGTCATAAAAAGGAATTCAAGTTAATACTAACCTGGGTTGCAGCCTTCTCATATTTCTCAATTGTTCTATGGTCAATTCCTCCACATTTGTAGACCAGGTGGCCAGTGGTTGTGGATTTGCCACTGTCTACATGGCCAATTATGACCAGGTTGATATGGATCCTTTCTTTGCCCATATTTGCTGATAGTTTAGTTAATTACCTGTTTTACACACCAAATACAACACACCTTATGATTTTCAAACCACAGTGAGCCTAGTTAACAAAGGGAACACTTAAGTATGGGTGCTGGTGATTGAGCCCTGGTGTGATCAATAAAGGCTTGAACTGCATTGCTGCAATAATGACCACGCCCACAATGAATTAGAATAGGCTAGCTATTGTTATATAATATGCACTCCTGTATGGAAACAAAAATCTGAAAATTTCTGCATAACACAGATATCAAAGTAAATTTATTTTTATCTCCTTAAACCCGCAGCGTTTAGTTTTTTTTTTTTGTTTTTTTTGACGGAAGTGACCGCTCAAATTCGAATCTAAAATGAGGGCACCAGTCATATGGCTAATACCAAGGACAATAGAATATAACATCCATGTTTTGTATTAGTTACAACCTATAGCCAGCTGAAGAAAGTAACAACGGCCCTTTTGTACTTAAACTAATTTACGAAGTTTAGGCATATGTACAGGAAGTAGACAAATGTTGGATAATTATATACAAATTTCAAGTATCATTTCACGTGGCAAAGACAGATTTCAGAAAAAAAACAACTTTTGATGTTATTAAACAGTGTGTCGTCATTAGTAACTTGCATTAGTTGCATTTGCACAGGTTTACATAACAGGAATGAGTTTATCAGTCAGGTGTGTCTCTTATGCGCAACATCATAAATTGACCGGCAGGGGGCGCGCTGAATAATTCATTATTTTCAGTTATATTATAACAAATCATCGCATGTCTAATGCACACGCGACTAAATATTTAAAGTAGTATACATGCTTTTCTTATTAAATGATAATGCTTGGAGCTTGATTTACGGCGTTTGGTTAAAATAAATGCGAGAAGCACATGACGTTTTATTAACCCGGAAATAACAGTCGGTAAAACAGCTGAGTGAGAGAGAGAGAGCGAGAGAGGCTCAGATCCAGAGAGGTAACGTAGAGAGAAGAGAGATCTAAAGCCTTCTCCCTGGAGCTTATAGCGTGCTACCTGGACTCCATACGTGTTTTTCAGCGCTTCACAATCAAAGGTGCGTTTTCATTCCTCTCTTATGTTTTTATGCTGCATGTACTGGGCTTTATTGTGTATATTCATAACTCTGAATGCATTAGTGCTGTAGTACAGCATGTAACTGAGCGGTGTGCTTTCAGCACGATGGCACCAGTGGCCATCCGTTGTTTAAAAGGGTATAGACAGGAACGGATGAAAAATGAGTGCGTGACAGTTTTAAAATGCATTTATGGGTGAAAAAAGTAAAGCAGCTATGTGTCATGCAATGCAATGCAATGCAGTGCAACTTCTGCCATGCTTTGTGCAACATTGGTAAGACCTGCTATGATTGTACAGTTTTCATAAGCAAGAATGTTCCCATGGTCATGGAAAACCTGGAAATAGCAGGCTGTTTTTGAGTTTGTTATTTAAAGTCGGAGGATATTATTTGTATCTCAAAAGCACATGGACATTTAGATACACTTCTTGTAGACATACTCAGCTCTACAGTATTTCATGGAAATTAATTGGTCAAAGGTATGGGAACATTAAGTCCAGCTGATGCCTCTGCTTAGATCCTAAGTGGGTATTGAACTCTAGTGTTGAAAGTGTAGTGCACTAAATGTCCAATGTGACTAGGTGTATTTTATCTGTAAAGTTTAATGAAAGTACTTGTAAAACATTTTCTGGTTCAAACGTCCTTACATACCAGTAAACCTGTGTTTGATTATGACCATGTGCATCTTATGGTTTTTCCTAATTAAAATCATTGATGTGACGTATGCATTTATTAGTATGCAAACCAAAATAGCATTTGCAGTAGTAATGTCAGGTTCTGCAATAATAATATCATGCAATTTATACTTTTATCTCCCTTATTTTCAAAGTATTTTCCTCCAAAAAGTCATATTAATGTGAGATTATCGAGTATTGGTGTGGCATAGAGCACTGGACTGTGTGGTTTGTACCCATAGCTCATCCCTGCACATATCAGATCAACCATGAGCCCTGATGAATACAGTATCTTTACTATATAAACCTCCTCATATATAAGGCTGCTATTTCCGATCGTATACCATTGGATAAACCTCTTTCATCACAATCATTCATGTGCAGATACTCTTCACACTGTTCGATTAACATCTTATCACCTCTCTTTCCCTTTCCTTTTATGGTATGTAGGTGAGGCTTGAAGTCAAGCATAGCATACAGGAAGACTCTGATCTGGTGGTTTCTGACACTTTGTTGTGTGTCAGCACCGTAGCCTGTTTTAAGTCATGGCCAGATTGAGATGGGTTTTTAATGTGGAAGCCTGTTTGTATGTGTAGTTGGATGTTGCCCGATGGGACTGCATTTAGATCATTGTAGTGCATCAGGGGGTAAATTGAATGGATCATTGTTTATGTAAGTTTGATGAAAATATGGAGGCAGTGTACTGTGTGCAGAATGGTAAAAAATGTTTAACTTGTAAAACACATTGGACTGTGGCAGGCATTGCACGCATTGCTTTTCCTGCATGTCAGGCCATGAGGGGTAAACACTGTGCCTCTGCTTGTTTAACGGACATATGTTTGTCGTAAATAAAGGTACTTGTAATCCACTTTTGTGAGGTATCTGACGTGCAAGTGGTAGGTGTGTGCAGCAGTGTTTGTTTGTTTAAGAGAGGACTGCCTTAGTAAGCATTTATATTAATGGTATACAACTTTATTTAACAGTCCACAATTGAAATTAAAGGTGCTTTGGATGAATTGTGACCTGAACTGTGTTGAGTGGTTGGGTTTTTAAACTAGTCAAGAGCTTATGAACATCTCTCTGTGTTCTTGACTCATGGCTATCAGCCGTAATATTTGTGTGGTGCATATTTCATTGTGTTATCTGCAGGTTAGCTGATAGGACACTTCATCTTTTGTCAATAGAAAGAAAGCCTTGCATTTGGGGCAAAAGTGGAATTTCCTCAGAGAAAATTAGTTGAGGAAAGTAAATCATTTATTTTATTTTATTATTATTATTATTTTTGGAAAGTTCATAAATTGTTATTCATTGTTAGAGACACCAAGAAATTGTTTGACAAGTTCAGTTTTCTTTCCTGTGTTGACACATTTCCTATTGAAACAGGAAGTTGGATTGATACATATCAAAAGGTTGGTCACTTTTTAAAATATCCAGTAGTTTGTTACAGCCATACAACACCAAATTAAGGTGCTTCCTTTGCAATTCATTTATGGTTGAGAAAGGAATTATATAATAAAATACAAGCATGAGAATAACCAAAGTCATACTGATATAACGTGATTTGCTACTTGAATTGCAGAGGCATTTGGTTCTATAATTTATCATTTGTGTAATCATGTGAGACTGAAGACTGGAGTTATGGCTGTTGAAAATTCAGCTTTGCCATCACAGGAATTAATTACATTTTAAAATGTATTCAAATTGGGGAAAATTGTAGTTGACTATTACTGTGTTATTATTTTTACTATATTACTGTTTGTTTTTATGTTTGATCAAATAAATGCAACAAGAAAGTTATTTAAAAAAAATAAATAAATAAATCTTACTGCTACCAAACTTTAATGTCGGTAGTGTACCTGAGTATGCTCTAGATAGATGTCCTCGAAACTTAACAGATGTGCACCTACAGCCACTGTACTCCAGTTTTTATTTCATGAGCCATAGGCCACAGTGTGCATCCATTGTTGTAATTAGCACTTTCTGCTAATCTCTTCATCCCAGTAAGAATGTTAGTTCTGGGGAAATGTTTTGTGTATTTGGAAGTTAGTGACAGATTGGAGCTGTAAAACTTTAAACAAGAATGCAGTGTACAAATCGGTGATGGTATTCTTTGTTTCCTTAAGATAACTCCCCAGAGCATTCGTTCACTTAAACATCAATTTAAGCAATTTTATAATATGGCAGAAATGTTCATAGGATGTTTAGTTAGTATCCAAGCCATTGCAAAATGTATAGCAGAAGAAGAGTGCTGTCGACATTATATGCCTGTTGTTCTCAGAATGACAATCTGTAGAATTTGCCTGAAATGAAATGAAAGACATAAGGAAGTTTATTGTACTAAATTTAAAAATGCTAATCTTCACTCTGAACTAGCTCACTAAACTTCCTGTTTCTCTTCCGTTTGCCCTTTACCCCGTAAGATTTCTGTCCAAGTGGAAATGTACCTTGTGTTTCTAATAAGTGTGATTGTTTTGCAGAAATTGCAGACAATTTTTTTTAATTTTAATAATGTTGAAGGTTGAATGTTTTTTTGCGTTATGATATTAACCATTGTGTGTAGTTAAGCCTCAAGAGCACATGTCCTAATTCATTTTTTTTAACCTCACAACCCTCTACACACACCTTGGCAATATAATCGCCATTGGCTTACGGTACGTCAAATACAGGTGCGCTGCGTGCTACATACTGCTCATCCATTGAGTACATGACATGATCCATTGAGCGCATCCAAATAGTACAGATCGCTTGACGGAGAGCGAAACTCTCAAGCGCTCAGTCAGCGTGTTTATCTTGAAATAGAGTGAAAATCTGTGTTGAACGCCTCTCACACACATACTGGCGTGTAAAATCTAAGAATTTATTAGCCAATGGCTAATATTAGCCATTATTTAGTCGCCCAGGGTAAGATTTAGTCGCATATGCGAGTGATTTACTCGCAATGTAGAGGGTTGCCTCAGGTGGTCTATGTACTCTGTCTTGCAGCAGCATGTAATGTTGTACTTTCTTAATGTCATGTCTCCACATGTCAACCATTTGAGCTGAGCAGTGTGATTTTTCACTTGATTTCCACTTCAGGATTGTAACATTTCAATTGTTAAGTGTTAAATAGAACTGAAAACATACACCACTTTGACACACACATTTGGTACTTGAAACCATGTGCTTGAAAGGAAATGAAGAAGGAAAAAAATATATGTTCCCACCTACTCTTATGTTTTAAGGAGGGGCAAACTTTGCTCATGGTCATTATAGTTAACTAATACTAAAATTAAAACCATAAAAAGAAAACCAAACAATCAAAATTATTAATTATTAGTAATAAAATAAACATTAAAGAAGAAAACACAAATCCACTTTCTTGTTACTTTAATCACACAAATTAGTCTTATTTAGTCTTCAAAATTTGGGATATTATTAACATGTAGATGGGTGCAAAAAGAACATACAAATTCCTAAATTAAACTTTGTTCTCTTAAAGACATCAAATTTAAAGAAATAAATTTGTCCTTATTAAACCAATAATTTATAACCTTTTAATGTATCTGGCCTAATTGTGTGTAGTCTAAGAAAATTGTCTGTAGTCTTAGATAGTTTTCATTATATTTCATTAAAATTTAGCAATTTCCTCCATATCTAAAATGTAATATTTCTTTCTGCTGATCTATTAAAATCTGAATGGCTGTAAAAAAAATGTTATAACTAATTTTCACAAGCCAACCAAATCCCAGTGGACACAATTAAGCCTTGCCCTATTGTTTCACTTAGAAATATGTTATGTTTTGTAAGTTAAATGTGCTCCAGATGCCATTTCATGTCATTATAGATAATGATAACTTGTAAAGGCCAGACCTGCTGAAATTAGATTGCAATTCTGTTATTTCTTTTGTTCAGCAGCGATGAGCCCATTTCTAGCTTTTGCTTCAACTGTCACTTTGACACTCTACATATATTGTGTGCCCACTGCGTCCCCTCCCTCTTGTTTCCATGGTGAGGATAGCTGAACATGGTAACCGGCACAGATGACTTGGCAACAGTTGGGAAGGAAACCCAACAGTATCCATCTGTTGCCTTTAACATGCCAGTCTTCAGTGAAGCAGAAGAGTTATACTAGACTCTCTGCTCTCAGTCAGAAAGCATGAGGGACATGTTTTAAATAGAGCTGACTATAAGCAGCATAGATGGCTAATTCTAGTGAGGTCATGCTGTCACTAAGTGAGAATTTGGTTGGTTTTGGTGATGTCTGAGGTGTGTGTTCACGGGGCTAAAGAGGATATGAGTCAAGCATGTTTTTGCCTCATTAGTCAGCTC